CTCTCCTGTTTCTCTTACGTTTATATTCTTTAGCTGTCAATATAATACTTCACGTCTATGGAAGAAAGAGTCAATAAAGATAGACAATGTGTAACATCATATTCATCAAAAGACGGTTTATGTGCAAGTAACTGCACCGGTCCGAGCAGGGAGCGAGCCGGCATGGGAGACAAGCTCCGATAAGATTGCAGAACAACGTCTGTCCCTGGATCCGAGAACTGAGATTTACGCTATCACCAGCTGGCTTCCGTTACATAAGGGCAAATATAGATGATTAAAACCTCATTTACTCATTTTACTCATACTTTTTTATCATTTATAATGTCCAAAGCATTGATATTAATATTAAATGCTACTTTTGTGCCTTTAATAGCCTTTTTCTCGCCTGTTTACTGGGTTAAAAATCTTACATTATTCCATCTCCACCTGCTGGTGAAAGCTAGAGCAGCTGGCGATCTTCAATCTGCAATCTATTGCTTATCCTGCAGTTCCCGGATGTAATGTTGAATTTTAACAGTCGAATTTGATCCACTGAATTTATGGAAGCGAATATTTGAACTGAAATAAAATGAACTGAAAATGACCTTTTGAATATTATACATCGTATTTTTAAAGGGTATTGAATATTTTGTAAGTGAAATCTGAAAATTGAATATGAATTATTGAATTTTTAAGTATGAAAACGTGTTTGAAATATTTTTCGTTGAAATATTCACAGCTTAAATAAACAGATATGTTAAATTTCAGGACCTAAAAATACAAACCCTGGAATTCAAGTCATTAAAATGCAAGAACTTGTTAATACGGTGTATTATTTTTTTCAGTTTGTGATATTCAACAAGCTTTTTAATTCAAGACTTTAGGCATTGATTTTGTTCCATACACAATCAGCTCTTTCTTCTGAGGAGACATTTTAAGAAAAGGAGGTCAGTGGATCAGTCACATGTAATAATTAATATAAACCAAAAGACTGGCTGTTTACAGAGATTGACCTTTAATTCAGAACCAGTTCATCCTCGCGAAACAGAGCGGCACTATAGTGAATTCACACTATATTGGGTGCTGCTATCTTGTTATTATGCAACAGACAACCTAAAAATAGTTTGTCAGATGTTTCTATGACCTTACTGCATTGCCATCCCTAACAAAAAGAGCCATTTAGCGTTTTAAATATAGAAATGGAAGATCAAGTACAGATTATCTTTAATGTTGTGGGATATAATACAGTACACACTTTGGTTTGGTTTTGTACTGCATAGTTTAGAAATTTTATGGGGGTAGCACGATTTTATACTGGGTTTCCTCCGGATGCTTCGTTTTCCCCCCATAATCCAAAGACATGCAGTACAGGTGAATTGAATAAACTAAATTTGCCGTAGTGTTTGTGTGTGATTGTGTATGGGTGTTTCCCAGTGTTAGGTTGCAGATGGAAGGGCATCCACTGTGTAAAACATATACTGGATAAGTTGGCGGTTCATTCCACTGTGGCGATTCCTGATGAGTAAAGGCACTAAGCTGAAAAGAAAATGAGTCAATGTCAAACTTGGCTGTCTTCTTAAATAATAAAGATATGTTATAAATGGACATGCTAAATACAAGTTAACCCTGTAAAGCCCACTGTTGCAGAATTAACTTTTAGCAATTGTAAAAAGGAGAATTTTAACAGTTTTTATCTTCTCAAATCCACATTTCATGATTAATGGGTTTTATCGTGTTTCCCCACGATGCTATTGGATAGAAAAGGCGTTTATAGGTCTGGTCACCCTGTCAAGAACGTACCTGCAATCTTCGCATTGAGCTGATCTCCTTTTTTATTTGCATGTCTGAATTTGTCAACATTTAAGCATGTCAGCTCTTTCTTTTGAGGAGTTTTTAGGAAAAGGAGGTCAGTGGATCAGTCACATGTAATAATTAATATAGTCCAAAAGACTGGCTGTTTACAGAGATTGATCTTTAATTCAGAACAAGTTCATCCTCGGGAAACAGAATGGCACTGGTGCACTATTTGCATCTCTCAAAACAATTTGTCACTTGTGCACAGCATAATAGCAGTTTCTCATCCCTTCCAACAAGTTGCAAATGCTTTTTGGCATGCATCAATTGCTTTCCTACAACTCTCTGCTGTTTATAACATTATCATTTGCTTATGTCATGTCAGTTAAAATTAACTAAACTTGTGAATGCTGAATAGTCACTCCATAAAAAACTTAATAGTCCTCATTTCATTGCCTGAGTCATTACATGCAAATATGTCTGTCAAGCAAACTTTATAAAAATCTTTAAATCCTTTTTTTTTTTTTTTTTTCCTGAAAACGTCTTCTAAATTGAAAAATTTCATAAATGATATTCAGACCTATGTGTGTCAGGTTCTGTTCCAATATTGTTTAGTAGTGCACAGCTCTACCTAAAGGAAGTTTATGTTTGTTGTAAATAAGGATGTGTTTATTCTTTTGCAAAATGCTGTGAATAAATTAGAATTGCAAAGCAAATGCAGTACAAATGTGAAACACGTTCAGTGTCTTGTACTCAGATACCTCACTAAATGCAGTGATGTCTAACTTTACTGTAGTTTTTACAGTTTTTCCTCAGTAGCTTTAGTGCATTACTCACAACACTATTTACATTTGCACTACAGGTAATGCATTTCTCAAAACAATTAGTCTTTATTGTATGTAAATCTTTATTTTCCTGAAAATGTCTTCTTAATTGAACAAGTTGATGATTTACAGACCTGTGTATGTTGTAGGCTCAGTTCCAATGATGTTCTATGTTCAGCTCTATCCAAAGAGAGTTTATGTTTGTTGTAAATAAGGATGTGTTTATTGTTTTGCACAGTGCTGTGTATATGTAAATTAGGATTGTAAAGAGCAAATGCAGTAAAAATGTGAAACATACATATTCAGTGTCTTGTACTCAGACACTTTACTAAATGCAGCGATGTCTAACTTTACTGTAGTTTTCAAATGGCTGTGCAAATAGTATATAGTGCTGTCTTGAGCCTTTTCAGGAAGTGTCACCAAAATCTGACTTTTTTTTGCACTGGAAAAAAAAAAAACAGTAAAGTTTTTTCATAATGATAACATGACAAAGCCATTTGACTATCTTGTTCATAAACAATGGTGTCAGGACTTTAAATTTTGATGACACTGACACTTTCATTGACATCAATGCTAGGTTTTATTATTTTACCAATAATAGCTAGGTTTTGCAGTTTATACTAATTTTTGTTAAAGTTTTGAGAAATGCGTTAACTGCTGTGCAAATGTAAATAGTGTTGTGAGAAATGCACCAAAACCCCTGAGAAAAACTGTATCGTCTTTTGACATTGTGTCCCTGCTTGGTAGTATTTCTTCAACATTATGGAAGTCAAAAAGCACCATCAAGTTTTGATGAGCAACATTCTTCAAAATGTCTTATATTTTTGAGTTCAGCCTTGAAAACAATGTCATTTGGTGAATGAATTTAAATTTTTAATTCAAACTTTCCCGTCAGAGACCAAATCAGACATAAATTCTCAGACTTCTCACTGACTATGTTTACATAGACATTAGTAACAAATGATTTGCCTTAATCTGACAAAGACAATAGTATGATTAGGATGTTTACATGAGTTGCTTTTTAAATGTTCCTTTCATGATCCCGTTATAGCACATAATTCGATTAACGTCAGTGCGTCACCACGCTATCCACATTTCCTCCAGAGTTTCATGTAATTTCAGGTGTTTCATTTTTAATTTGTCGACTTTAACTGCAGTTTGCCACTTTTACTTTCATTCAGGAACATTTCATGCACGCCCCAAACGAGATGTTGGATGAGAGTATGACAATGTATGACAGCCATGTGTAAGTAGACTATCCTGTCCCAAAACACAGTGAAAATCCTACACGACAGTAATAGTTTGACTGTGGCGTTTTCATGTCTGTACTTCTAATCTGCATAATCAGACTAAAATCAACATTCTCCACATGCCTTCATTCCATCTCTGTTTAGTTTGATGATGACTATAGTCGGATTAAATACATCAAGAATCGCTGATTACATGTTAAACTCTTAGGGCCTACTCACACTATGCCATCTGTACCGTGCCCAGGCCTGTTTCCCGGATCGTTTGAGAAGTGTGAGTGAGCTGAATCGGGCTTAAGCACAGTTCACTTGGCCGGCCCTGGCCCGGTTGGAAGAGGTGTGCCTGAGCGCGGTTCACTTGGGCTTTGGCACGGTACGCTTGTGTGTGAGTGCAAAGCCCGAAACTGAAAGTGAGACGTGACTTTTAAGGGGCTGTTTCATATGGATTTATTAATCATTCTTACTGTTCAGTGAACGCAAACTGTAGTGGAGTTAGCTGGTTTTGAATTTGATCGTCGCCATGGAGTGCCGGTAAGAACACGGAGACTTGAACCCCATTTACAGCTCTTTAATGTCCATCACACTTTATTGGTACAGTCCTTTACATGGGAGTGTGTGTGTATGTGTGTGTGTGTGTGTTTCTCATCATTGACGCACACAAAACTGACTGGAATTAGGCGGAAAGCAAAGCATGCAACCTTTCTCTCTATCTGATCAGAATGAAACCAGTTAACAGTCTCAATGTACAGCAGACCTAAGCTGCGTTTTGATTGGCTGCCTGTGCTCGTGATCAGCGCATGATCAAGTACGAGCTAAGGACTGTTTGACGAAATATCTGACTGCATGTCACTGCATAACAAACGACTGAAACGATATAACTAGAGAAATCTCCACTGTACTGCTGAGTGAGTGAGAGCGCTTCTCACTGAACAGCGCAGCAGCGATGACGTAAGCGTGCCGAGGCCCATTTGTGGTGTGAGTGCGGGCCGTCGGGGGAGACGGGAGGGGGGACAAGCGTGCTTTGGCCCGGTTCGAGGCAACTGTACCTACTGCGAGTACGGCCTTAATCAGAGATTTGTCTAATTCATAAAAGTCGGATTATCAGCGTCCATGTGAACATACTCATTATTGCTAGCTAATTCACAAGAAAGCCACAGAAGTTCAGTTACATTTATTTCTCATTTTAAAAAAGGCTTTTCAAACAATCAAAATATAAATACATCTTTCCCACACAAAAATCAACTGGCAACAACACGACAAAAACTTCACTCATACCAAACATCCATTATCAAACACACTCACACACACTAGCAGACATGTGCTCTCTCTCTCACACACACACCCCAGCCCCTGAATTTAGAGTTAAAGGTGCAATTACAAAAAAACAAACAAAAAACAATCATCCGACATCTGTACAGACTGCAGTCTCTGTGTTTGTGTGCTTGAGGACAGAACAAGAGTCCTGTTAAAACCTCTTCTGTGTGTTTTTTCCAGTTCTGCTTCATCTGTAGTGACCAATACTCAACTCAAACAACTGCTAAAACTGCTGGTTTCATCTGCCAAACTGTGCCCGTGTTCAGCGAGGCAGGAAAACACTGGTTTCGTGATCAGGTACAAATTTTTAACTAAGGAGCGAACAAAGAAATTCAAAGGCCAAAAATCTCAGGGGGGAAATAAAAGCTTTGATTTGCAGAGGTAAACAACTGATGCGTCGTCAGCGCAGCGCTGATGCTAATGTCCGTAGGATCCTCCAAAATACAGTCTGTGCGTCACAGGTCCTGCTGCGGCTCCTGTGCTGCTGTGTCGACGGATACATTCTGCTCTGTGGCCACAACAGTAATCAGTCTGGGGGGCTTTGATTGTGGCTTCTGCCTTTTCATACACAGAGGTTTCCGGACACAGTCACGTACGGCGGAGTCTCTGTTGTGCTAGGATGCTTTGCCCAGCTCAATTTTCTTCTGGATGGCTCTCGCGGAGTGGTATATCAAAGAATCGATGAGTCCGGCAACTGAAGGGAGCAGAAACAGACATGGTGAGACTATGAACAGCACTGGAGTGGAAGACTCATGTTTGCATCAATATGGCAGACCGAGTAAGATTGAACTCCTCAAAACTTTGCAATAAACACAAATAGATTATATATTAGAGATGAGCTGTTGATTTAAATAAATCTAAATGGGACTAGATGCGTTTCCAATCACCTATTTTATGGGCATTTTGGATATCCGCATTAAAAAAAAAAAAAATTAAAAAAAATAAAAAAAATAAAAAAATAAAAAAATCTTTTGATGGAAATACCAAGTTTTGAAAATGTGCATAAAAATGTATGTGCTTACCTGAATAGGATAAACTTTTTGTTTGATAAGAAAAGATGTGCATAAACGTTGGAAACACTTTTACCTACAAATTCCAGTATGAGCATTAATGTGTGTGAATTAGTGATGCGGGGACGGCGGTTATATCTGCTGGTTTGGATGTAGCGGGACATGGCAGTGGACCAGCGAAAAAGCAGAGAGTGGGCTTTGCAGAATGGGAAGATGAGACTCCCAAAATAATAAATGAAGTGCAAGAGTAGCCTATACTGTTCAAAGTTTCAGTTAGAGGAGTCAACAGAGGAAAATCTGCTCTCGTTCTGGGAGAAGCAAGATCACTTATCTCCATTACTGCAGCGCCTTGCGAGGAGAATATTGTTCATTCCTACAACAAGCGGTGCGAGAGAACGCTCATTCAGTGCAGCTGGCCGCGTTTTGGAGGCGAGGCGGAATCGCCTGAATTTAGGCTCAGTAGGTGTCATTCTGTTTTTGTACAGTGCAATGAAAAAGGCCAAGGGAACACAACATAGCTGCCATTTAGGCTGAAGTGGCACCCTTTTTGTTATCTTGTTCCTGTATCTGTAAAAGCTGAAATGTCTTATTTTTACTTTTTGTATCTTTTTGAAAATGAAAAATGTTGACTAAAGACAAAATTTAGTTTTTATAAATAAATGTTGATTTTAAAATGTTTACAATTAACATATTATTTTACCATCAGAGATGTGCAGATTAGCTCAATGAATCTGCTGTTAATATCCACGTTGACCTATCATCATGCATTAAACAAAGAATTAGAATTATTAAAGTGACGATCGGGTGCGCATAAATATATCAGATAAAACTATATGTGCGGGTGGGTGGCAGGCGGCTGATTAGTATGAAGCTGCGGATTCAGGTGTTATTTCAGCTCATCGGCGCATCTCTAGTGTGAATGGATAATTCTAATAAAATAAATAAATATTTATTTTTTAAAAATTGCAATAGCACATTTATTTAGACTATTCGCAATTGATTTATTTCCTGCCAAACACGTTTTACAAAATCACCACACTGCTTCTGTCAACCAACTTTCATTCATTCATTTTCCTTCAACTTATTCTCGATTTCAGAGGTCGCCACAGCAAAATGAACTGCCAACTATTCTCATTTTGAGGAGGGAACTGGCGGACATGCAACAACTTTAATCATAAGGTGAACACAAAACAAAACTTTCCATCAGGAGCTCCTACACAGGACTCTACACTTGTAAACACTTGCTCCAATGGTTTGCATGGCTCTCGATCCCGCACACACTGGTCCACTATCAACCCGACCAATCACAGAGCTAGCGCTACACGTCGTTCCAACATGTAGTTACATGTTTTGAGAGGTGTGCATCGGGATGGTCACGGCAAGGGCTATGCGATTACACACAGTTAATGTCTTTCCAGTCTTAACCAAGTATTGGGAAACACCAATACACTTATTAACACACACACACTCATACACTGCGTAAAGTTTCATACACTAATTTCGAGAGGAGCATGTGATATGATTAATTGCAGCTGGTTTCTCATCTGCAATCATTAGTAAACCAATCAGAGTATTCCAAACTCACAATAAGTAGCCCGTCTCGCCTTACTCCATTATCTTCATTTTTGAAGACTCCACCCAATATACCCCAATATCTCCCCCTATTCCTCCTTTACCAGGGGGAGCTCTTGAGAATTAACAGATCTCATACCCCCTTACATGCTCATTAACTAGGCGGGAGCCCTGGGCTCAATTATCTCTGGTTTTCTCCCAGGACAGCATGCCAAACTTGCTATTAATAGAGTGGAGGAACTATGACGTCAATTTGTATGCAAAAATCTGGAAGCGAGTTAGCATTTTAGCAATTCCGGTTCCCTCGTCCCAAAGTCAATGGGTTTTTTCAATGGGATTTCAGTAAAATCGCTTAAATAAGGTTTGTGGCTAACACAAACTCAAAATACTTTCACGTTTTGTTCTATGACATAAAACACATCAGTTACAGCACACTCTTGAATTTTTAAATCGGTAATGCTTCTTTAAAAAGACGGTTGCTATCAAGTTGCTAATTGGGACTACAGGCGGCGTCGGAGACATTATACGTCATCGAGCTGAACTGGTCTGGAGCGCGGCTCGCTTGTGTTGGGCATTTGGATTTGTCTGTGATTTTAGGTATTTTCATGAATAGTATTTTATATTTTGTAGTGTTTTTCTAATTGGGAATTCAGATTGTGTGTAGATAATTCCTTCACTTATGAAGGCTGTCGAGACAGATTCATTTGTTGATAATTCATTTTAATTAAACGATATTATGAAGATACTGCTCACCAGTGCAGCCTGTCTCTCTTCTTCCCTCAGTAATGCAAACGTGTGAATAAATGTGTACAAATACATGCATGTTAACTGTCATTTTAATGTGATCAAGTGATTTTTCGTCGGGTTTTTTCTTAATCTGAACACATTTCTTTGTCATAACTGCAATATCTAGACTCCTCCATAAAACGTATAGCAGATGTGACTGTATGGGCTGCTTTTCACTGTACTTCGTGACAAAAAAGGAATATTGAATCCATGATGATGAAACTAGCAGGCATTTGATAGACTTGTTCCTACTCACGCCTCATTTCTGTCGCCTGTTAAGGTAAGCAGGCTGTGTGCACGCGCGCGATACACTTATTTAAATGTCTTATGATAATACTATATAGGCAGATTTATACACGCAGTTTTAAAACTTTTAGAACAACCGCAAAGAAAAACAGATGTATTTCCCACGTAAAAACGGTCTAAAAGGCACGTAGGTCTATGTGTTTTTGCGAATTTATTTGTCTATAATATATACAGTGGATTATAATATTATAAACAGAAAGATTAACTCTTTGTCATGGACAATATTTCTAAAAATAAGCTTGATAAGTCGCCTGTAGCAGGGTGGGGCTGACGTCACAGGCGCGCATCCTGAAGGCACTGTAGTCCGTATATAGCCTAATGTTAGCTTTTCAGTTCTTGCGTTTGCATTTAAAATCCAAAAGTGCTCAAAGTTGTATTTTCATGTGAGGTGTAATGAACTGTGTTCGAACACAGAGCTTATTATTTGCAATCTTCGAAAAGCCTATGGGAAAATCCTATAGGGATTTTCACAAGGGAATCACTTTTATGCTAGCAGCCGATTAGCCTACAAAGTGACGTCATAGTTCCTCCACTCTATATAAAGCAATATCTAAGTGTGAACTCTGGAAGGCAGATTTAGTTTATATAATTCACCTATAGCACATGTCTTTAGACTGTGGAGGAAACCAGAGCATCCAGAGGAGACCCACACGAACACGGGGAGTACATGCAAACTCCACACTGAAATGCCAACTGACCCACTTGGGACTCGACCTGGCGACCTTCTTGCTGTTAGGCGACAGTAATACCTGTGCCCTCAACCATCTTTATGCTTTTTACAACATATTAAAAAAGTGCATGCATGCTGGACACTTGCTGATGGGTTTTCCTGTACCATGTGGTTCAACATAACCATTACAAATGACAACGAATCCATTAAGATCATGCATTTCAGCACAAGTCTGTAGATCAAACGCTTTTCGAGATCATGAGAAACAAATTCAGTCGAGTGTGTGCAAACTTGTGACTGAACATTTCTGAATGTTAGGCTTGATCTTTGCTGCTAAACTCCAGATGCGTTTACTGATTTTGATTTGACACACTCTTTCCTCGAGTACAGGACGTGCAGGACCGTATCGAGCATGTACGCAATTTAAAATGCTGTCGCTTACGTATGTGTATGCAGGCCACATCCTTCAGACATACTTTCCATGAAAACTGCAAATACAAAACACATAATGGAGTCTCTCACCTGTGAAAACACCTCCAATAATAGCACAAACTCCTGTTAGGAAATGGGTGAAAGACCTGCGGAGGAAAAGACAGAGAGAATTATAAGTATAATAAATGCTTATCCTCATTACGGTACAATGCATTAGATCGTTTCTTTCAAACAAAGTGTGTAATGTGATCACCTCTGCTTCTCTGTGAACTTGACCATCATCGGAGAGAGCTCATACAGCACAAACACACCAGGTAAACCCTGATCTCCAATCAGCCCGTTAGCAATTTTCTCATGTCTCGTTACTGAAAACTGGTTCGTTTTAACAACCTGAAGTCAAAGAACAGCATGGTTACTGCCATCACATGCATCAACATTTCTAAACAAGACCATCATTTTAGCTTACTAATGTAGAGTTATATTCACATGCTTTTCTTTTAAACACTGTTTTTTAATCATTACTTACATGGGGATTTTTTAAGTCTTTGTTTTATGCATTAAGAATCAAACCAGCCAGCAAATGAAGAGAACCATAACATTACAAACTTTGATTTGAAGCAAAAATGTATGTAAATCTGTGCTCAGATGGGGCCTGTTCTATAAACCAAGCTTACAGAAAATGCCAGGCTTATTTTGGTAAGTCAGGTTTATTAATGGCAGATATTATTTCATAAATCAAATTTACAAGATTTCAAACTCAGTTTCTCTGGCAACTTATGATGGGAAAGTTTTAAATTCAAGCTTAACCAAAGTAATGTTAACATTGACCTGCCGTAATTTGATGCCATTTTAATTCTCTCAATTCTTAATAATGATTAAAACTTTATAGTTACTTAATAGTAAATATATACACCCAACATCTTTAAGAATAGAACAATAATATACATTTCAAGAGTTCGCACTGAGCTGATGATTGATAATAAAGCTTGTTTGGCATGCTGTCCCAGGAGAGAGCCCTGAGCTTGAGATCCTCGAGCCCTGGGCTCCCTCCCGTTTGCAGGGCGAGAGGGAAGTTTGAGCTCAGGTAGATCTTGATGATTCCCCCCGGCTTATTTGTAGCTAAGTGAAGGATATGGATGACTGAGGAGAGGTGTACTCGCTGAGAGCTTGATTATGGTATACATTTTGTGTGCTCAATTTACTTAGGGTGCATGTTATTTGGACTGTGGGAGGAAACCGGACAATCCAGGGAAAGCCCACGCAAGCACGGGGCGAACAAGCGAAACTCTGCACAGAAATGTCACCTGGTTTAGTAGGAACTTAAACCAGACGCATTCCTGCTGTGGGGCAACAGTGCTAATGACTGGGCCACCATGTCGCTTGTTTGAAAAGAAGAGAAAGTAGGCTTGTGTTGGGGGATAGTTCTTCAAGACGAAGATATTGAGATAAGAAAACTCTGGTTCTTTATAGTGAGTTAAGAATCATCTGATTGGATTATCAATCATTAGCTGATGCTGAAACAGCCGAGAACAATCATAAGCACTTAATCCTCTCGAAATTTGTTTATAAATAAACTTTACTTAAATTCAAATAAATTACTTTAAACAAAACAAACTACAACATTTCAACTACATTTTATAGCTTATGTGGATTTTTTTTTTTCCTGTATATAGAAATTTTATTTAATATTTACCCCAACATATTCATTTAGGTGTAATAATTTTTGGACTGAGATCTTCAGTTTATTTTTTGTTAGATTATTTCCAAATTTTGCATTGGTACTGAATAATCTAACGTACAGTTAAGGTCAGAACTATTAGCTCCCATTTGATAATTATTATTTTTTTTAAAAAATATTTCCCAAATTATGTTTAACAGAGCAAGGACATTTTCACAGTATGTCTGATAATATTTTTTTCTTCTGGAGAAAGTCTCAGTTAGAATAATAAAAAAAAGTCTCGGCTAGAATTAATATTTATCTCTGGAGAAAATAAATCAAGATTTTACTTCTGGAATTATTCTGCTATATTACTATATTTCTATTAAGCTTTACCGTGTTTATGAGCAAATATATTGTCAGATGTTAAAAATATAATTTTCTATGAAAAAAATGAATGAAGATTTTACTTTAATGTAAAACTTCTATAATAGCTTAATAATATTCATTCATTCATTTTCTTTTAGCTTAGTCCCTTTATTAATCAGGGGTCGCCACAGCAGAATGAACCGCTAACTTATACAGCATATGTTTTATGCAGTGGATGCCCTTCCACTGGGAAACATCCGTACACTCATTCACACACAAACACTACAGACAGTTTATCTTACCCAATTCACCTATAGCGCATGTCTTTGGACTTGTGGGGGAAACCGGAGCTAGCTTAATAATATATTATATTTATTAATAATTTAACCTGAATTTTATCAATATAAATATTATTGTTTTGTTTTTGTAAAGATACTATTATTTATAGTGTCTCTTACCTCTCCATCTCCTTTAACATATATCGTTGGCACAATTTTCACAAAATACTGGTACATCATTGAGGCTGTAAAGGCCAGAAGAGAGTACAGGTCAATCAGACATACAGGACGTCAACATTTGGTGAAATTACAGTTTTGAAGTCCTCTTGCACTAATAATAAACACATTTGAAATCTAACCTTTCATTTTGGCAAGGCAAGTTTATTTATAAAGCACATCTCATACACAATAGTAATTCAAAGTTCTTTACATAAACAATAATAAAAGACACAAGAAAATAATAAAAATGATTAAAACAGATTAAAATGTGTAAAATCAGGTTTTTTAAGAAATATAAAAGTAAAAAGAGACATAATAGTGCAATCTGTGGGACGTAGCACAGTGCTCATTCAGTAAAGGCATAGCGAAATAGATGCGTTAAAGTAATAAACAGGCCCGTAGCCATCCTGGTGAAAGGGTGGATCTTTTTTTCTCAAAAACTGGACCTTCAGTTATTCGCCTCATTTTCTAGGTTTAAATACTGCATTTAATGACATTTTAAGCACTTTTTGTTTAGATAGCTTGTTGGATGGTCATCAGAACCAAACTTTTTGAGGTACCAAAACATTTCCCTTAAAGATAAAAAAAAAACATACTTAAAAATGGGTTCTCAACCTTTTTCTCTTCGATGCCCACTTTTATCTCTGATTTTCTCCTGTTTTGAAGGCCCAAAACTGAGTGTCTAGAGAAAATGCTTGTTTTAAAACTTTATTTATTAGCAAAACATTTATTTTGCCTCCTATTATTATATTATTATTAGAATAATAGGAGGCAAAATAAATGTTTTGCTTATATATATATATATATATATATATATATATATATATATATATAAACAGAAACATTGTACATATATATTATTATATTTTATATATATTTTTATATATTTTTTTAAATGTACAGACAGGTTCAAAACTTCTGAATTCTTTACTTCAGTTATTCTTTACAAGTTATTCAGTTGACACGCAGCAATTGAAAATTTAGGCCACAGTTATGTCTGTAATTAACAGTGAGGGTGTTTTTGCACAGAGTCCGAATTAGCCTGTTTAATCACAGAAAATGGGAAATGCCATTACTACTATTACTTTAATATGGCATATTTAATAATAAAATCAAATAATTATAGTATAATATTTAAGCTCATTTTAATCTCGCAGCCCACCTGCAGGATCACTGAGGCCCCCTAGTGGGCCGCAGCCCACTGGTTAAGAATCGCTTCATGATTTATCAGCATTTGTTTTTTTTTTTTTTAATAAAAACTTAAGCTTATGTTCATTTATTTTTTAAAAAAATAACCTGGCCAGCACATTTAACGTTCCTTAGTTAGAATTTGGCCATTTCAATAAAAATAAATAAATAAATAAATAAATAAATAAATAATTCAGAGCTTCACAATTTTTCTAGATTTTTCTCGTTAAAAATAAAAAATTGAAAATTCATGGATAACAATGACCTGATTAGTATTACAATTAACTTTAATATGAGCTGCCTTTAGTGCTTCACACCTTTTTATTGATCAATTTTTGTTTTATGAATAAGGTTCACGATTTAGAATAAAAGTTTCCTGTAAAATGTTTTCTCTATTTAACAGCACAGATGTTAGACTCATGAAAAATAATTGTTTGCACTGGCCAAAACTGATTAGCTGAAGTCATGACAGCCAACAGAGGATTCCACTTGTTAGATGGGTTATTTTCACAATTTATGATGGAACAGCAGTCAAAATAGGACAAATGAGCTTATGTATAGGACAAATGCTGGACCTTTAACAGTGGAGGGCTGAGTCTTTCGAACATTCATGTTCATTAATAAGTAATTAACCCAGAAACAACGCAGTATATCCACCTTTATCTTTGTATTTGTTTTTACCAAAACAAAATAAAGTTGGTTAGAAACCGCTGTCAGTTCCTTTATTCACCAACAGGGGGTGTCTAGTGATAAACAGGTGACTGGCTCTGGCACTAGAGGGCGCTGCAGCGCTTCATAAGCTTGAATTCTCCGCTTGTACTTTGGCACTTCCTCTCAAGTAATGGCGTCCGTGTGAAACAGTCCTATCGCAAACATTGAGCTAGGTTGTCACAAAAACTAACCAACAGGGCCACTAAAATAGCGATTTGAACAAGGTAAGAAGACTTTCTTCAAATATATTTTTCGATAACTGCTCGCGGTGTCCATAACCGAGAGCGGTTGAGCTTGTTTAAGGCCGGAGACCTTGATGACATTTAACGAAATAATCCAGTTCACGTGCGTTAAATTTGTCTTGTAGGTTTTAGTTTTACTTTAACGGCAATATACCGTAACTTACAGCTATATCAGCTCCTCTTAGCTTGTCAAAATTACCTTGTTTTATATAACGCGCAGGTGCCAGACTTATCATTAAAGTAGTGCGCTACTTATCTAGACAACAGCATTATGTGCACTATGTAGAGGTCATTTTATGTCAACTGATTCAAAACGTGCACGTTAACAATACTGAATTTATATCTACATTAAAGTAATAGTCCACCAAAAAAAATCTAACTGTCATCATTTATTTATACTTGTTTGTTCTGTTAAATACAAAAGAAGATATTTTGAAGAATGTTGAGGATCTGTAACCATTGCTTTCCACAGTGTTTTTTTTTTTTTTTTTTTTTTTACAATGGAAGTCAGTGGTTACGGGTTTTCATCTTTCTTCAAAATATCTTTTGTGTTAAACCGAAGAAACAATTTTTTTTTTGTTTGGAACCACTTTAGGGTAAATAATGAGAATGTATTGATTTTACATCCTTAAATACAAACACACATAATATAATTAGTATTATTCATTATATTTATCATTAAACGCATACAAACATACACCGAATGCAAGAAATGCCCAAAAGTAACCAACTACAAGTAAAGCTACATTGTGTCTTGTCCTCCTTCCAGATGCCGGTGAGTGTAGGATCGTACGGACAGCAGGCTCAGCCCAGCTGCTTTGACAGAGTCAAGATGGGCTTCATGATGGGCTTTGCTGTAGGAATGGCTGCAGGTGCCATGTTTGGGACTTTCTCCTGTCTCAGGTATAAACTTAAAAGGAACAGTTCACCTGGTAATTTAAATCTAATGTTAAAATAATGAGGCGATACACTTAATGGCTTTTCTTCTCTCTTTCTGTAGAATAATAATCAAAACATCATGTGTCTTTTATATAATGCAAGTTGTGCTCATGGCTGTCATGAAAATACTCAGGGTTGCCAGGTCCAAGAACAATGTTAAGCTCGAAACATGCCCAAAAATGAATAGTAGTCCATTTTTTGTTTTAATTTAATAGTTTGTTTTAAATTCTTTTTGACAAGTTTTTTTTCTATAGTTATGACAAAAGTTGTAATATGTTTACTATAGATATGACAAAAGAGTATGCAACAGTTTTAGTTAAGCCTATCTTGTTTACGGATGGGGTTGAAGGGTGTTGAGTGCACTCTCTCGTTAACATGCTTAAATACTTGTGCTACATGACAATATAAAAGCTTTTTTAGTCCTTGTGTATGACATTTAAGGTTTGGGACTCTGCTGAAGTCTGTTCTTAAATGAAAGCATCAGAGTTGACATCATTTGCTACGATTTTTAATCATGTGCGACTCGCATAGACAGGTGAAAATCCAAACTACCTGCTTACACTGCAAACAAGAGGACACAGATTGGATTCATATTGGATAAATTTCCACATATGAATAAGGCCTGAATATGATTTGAGTAAATTGGAATCCATGTAATTTTTTTTCTGCTTACACAGGGCATATCTTATCTGTGCCACATGGGGAAAAAAAAATTGGAATTGAGTCACTTGAAACATGCAGTGTAAATGCGGCCTTATATATTTGATACAAATCCTTGTAGATACAGAATATGTTTGAAGGTACTGACCATCTGCACAAGAAAAATACTACTTCTGAAGTACCTTTCTCAGATGTAGGAGTAACTAATGTTCTGTTCATTTATTTATTTATTTTTTACTCGCTCACTAGCAGCAGTCTTAGGGTTGCCAGATATGTATTCTGGGATTAATGTCTATTAAGAATTAATTTATAATTTTGTATTCTTGAAAGGGAAACATTTTGGCAGTAAAGACATTGCAAAGAAGCCTCAGAAAAAAAACAACTTTCTTTCCCATAACACTTTCTTTTGAAAAGAGCTCAATAGTGTGGGAAAACCGCGACTCTGGCAACACTGAACACACTGAGGACTTGCATTTTATGAATCTCCAATAGTCACGGTTTGAGCTTAACTTTAATGCTTTACTTTCAATTTGACCTGAATGTGAGTAAATTAACAGCAAATATTTATTTTGCAGGTGATCTAGTTCTGTAATTTAGCCTAATTTATAAAACAAAATATCCTGTAACATTTGCTAAAAAATCTGACATTTTTATTTATTTATTTTGTTCTATTCAGGATTGGCATGCGGGGTCGAGAGTTGATGGGCGGAGTTGGGAAGACGATGATGCAAAGCGGTGGTACGTTTGGGACCTTCATGGCGATTGGGATGGGAATCCGCTGCTGAGATCACACTAATGCCACTCAAGTAATAGGACTTTGAAGCATTTTCCATTCACCCGTTTGTTATCACACCCAGATTCAAGGACATCGGTGTTAATAAAGAGTAATAGAAATGTTTTTTTTTCTGTAAATCTCTAAGGCTCAAATGTAAGACCTGATTGTTGATCGATAATGACAGCCCTACTTTTTATTGGAGTTCACCAGAACAGGTTAAAGTCAACTTAAATGACCTTTCTGCAGTTTACGGAGGGCTTACAATGAAGAAGGGCTATTTATTTTGAAAAACAACGTTGTTTGAAACACATTTTAAGTTTAAGCATGACAATAAGAAATAGCACACACTTACCTTGAGGTGCTGCTACATTAGTATCATCTAAGGGGTTGACAATTCCAGGATAGTCTTTGCCAAATGAAAGATGTTTGATGAAATGTGTCATGTTGATCTGTGGTCAAACAAAACAAAATCATTAAATTTTGGTCTAATATTCTGAGCAAACACAAGAGCAATCTTATTGAAGAAGAGAACTGAACAACTCACATTGTCTAGGCCAAAGCTTTGCAGATCATGAACTGAAAATAAAGCAAATTGAAAAATATGAATAAGTGTTTGCAATGATGACAAACATATCAATGCATTTTAGTTTAGTTCATTTGATTAGACTAGGAATTGCACATTTTCCAAATAAAGGCAGAGAGTAGTTTGTTAAGGGGTCACAGACACACTTACTGATGGAAATCGACAAATTAATTGAAAATGCAATGTCAAATAACAAACTGACTATTAGTTAAAGGCTAAAATCTCAAATTAATTGCAGAAAAAAGCAGAATCACTGATGTAGTAACAAGGTAAATTCTAACTTGTCTTGGAATAAAGATTTATTAAAATATAAAAGATCAACTTACTCTCCACAGCATGCACTGCAGAAAGAAGAGAAAATAGTCACTAAATGGGTTTGATTTCAAAAGGAATTTGTGACAAACACTTTTAAAATCATTCAAATACTAGAAGACAATTGTAATAGCCAAAACATAAGGGGACTCGTCTCTTTAGATCAAAATGTTGTTGTTGTTTTTTTGGCACCTTTAATCCATGGTGCATAGAAGTTAATGAAGTATTGGATATGCACTTCAGCCATTGAAAGAACAGCCTATGCATGACCAAGCAAAAAAATAGTGTTAGTTCTGTACCTTGTTACTTAGAAAGATTGTGAGCTTTGGTAAGGAAGCACAGAAACCTTTTTTCCCCAAAGATTAAAAACCCAGACTTCCCAAAAACAGTCTCATTAACAAAACAGTTTTGATTTTTACAGCATCAATGATCAACACCACAACATAATGAGAGCGTAGAAGAATTAAAGCTTGTAAAGGCACACCTGCGCACATTAAAGCAGCAGAAGAAACTGTTCATAAGCCTGGAAACTTGACAACTGGTCAAAATAAAACTGAACAGACTGATGAACAGTTCTGAGAAACCAAGCAGGGGAAAAAGCAGACAATGTGTACTTTAGGTAAATACAAACATAGATCTGACGACATTTAAAGCATTTAAAGAGACACATTTGCATAATAAGAAATGAGAAGTTGCAGAAAGCACAAGGCGACATGCAGGCAAGTCAAACTTTTAGATCTGATGGTATTGACGCATATGTTGGCTTAATTAAATAATTAATAGGATTTGTCATGATACACAACACATTTGGTTTTTAAATTAATTAATTATGAGTTAAAACCAGTAATTATGACTTGGCATCAGATCTAAAAGCTTTAACTTGCATTTGATTTTTACTTAATAACTAGGCTCGAGTCTTTACCATGAACATGAGACTGCTGGAAACTCTTTCCAGGGGCAAAATGGAAATTTCCTGCCACCTGAAGGAATGTATAGGGATTTTGATTTTATTTATTCATTTATTTATTTTGTGGGGGGTGAGACTAAATTTTAAGTACTTTTATTAAAAGATGGATTCAGATCAGGGGGCTGCATGTTACCTTATTGACCTCCAGAAAGCCATAAACTTGACATCCCTCATTTTTCTGTTCCTGCATCTTCTGGCTGAATCCCTCTCTTTTGCACTGCTCAATGGTGTCAGGGGTCTTAAATGCCCAGCCCCGTCGCCGATACGCCTCCCGCACGTCATCACAGGTGTTGCAACACCTGCAGAACAAGCAGTTCATTTTGGATATTCACAAAATCTTTGGCTTTACATAGATTTGTTTTTATATAGGCTTTTAACATGCTTAAAACAATCTGTGTATAAGTCAAACACATTAAAAAAAGTCAACAATATCTGGATGCAGACTTGGATTTGCAAGCTGAGACTGCTTATCTCAGAAATGCAATGTCAGACACAATGCACTCAATGGAGTGAGTGACATCACTGTAGGGGGTTAGGTGTGGGCATTAAAAAGCGTTGCATGCAGCTCAGATTAGAACTGCACCAAGTCTGCAGCCAGACCCCTCTCAGAAAAGTAGTATTGAAATCGATGCACATAAATGACAAGAACTAAAATCATTTAAAAAGGAAAAAATTTAAAGTTCAAAAAGAAATTAGCTGAAAAACTAAACATTTCATAAAAAAATATAAAATCATAAATGGGCCTGTCTTGGTCCTAGATTTTGAATTGACTAATTTAAAAATAATTGCTATTAAAAACTTATCGATCTGTTTAGTTTAATAAATGTTTTGTATGTTTTACTTTATAATAGGGCTCTGCGATTTAGGGAAAATATCTAATTGTCTTTTTTTGACTGATATTTCAATTTGATTTGCGATATAATTTTGTCGTCAAGCTTCAGCTCAATTATCTGTATCATAGCTTCTTACTGCTAAAATGCAGTGAGTGTTAGTTTAAAAAAACGAAACTGAAAAGATAATAACTCAAGTTAAACATTTATTCAAATTTGTTTTTAAATATTCAGCAATGAAACACTTTTTTCTCTTTAGCAAACAAATTAATAACCATACTTTTCTGTAACCTCAAATTAGAGAGGTAGTGTAGCTTATTTTAAAAAACAAAACATAATTTATAATTATAAAAATACACAACACTTAGCAAACTAACATGGCTGAAACAACTCTCAAGTTGTACTTTGTTGTTGCTTGCTACTAGATTGAGTGTCACTGGCAATACTTTCAATTGACTTTTTAGCAAGACACTCGTATAGCTACTTGTGGTGCCTTCTAAGGTGCTGGTGGTTGTATTTTCTTATGCTCTGACAACAATTCTTACAAATTACCTGTCTGACTTTGAAACCAAAATATTCCCATATTACTGATGTTCTGTTTTTCTTTGATATTAATTTGTCTATTAATGCTTCTGAAGCGGCAAATGCCATCATCTCACTCATCCGCGCTTTCCTATTTGTTTTTTTTTTATTGTGAGCATTCCGCATAGTTCAATTGTGCAATTCTGATTGGGCAGAACAAAAGTGTGCTCACTCAACTGGCTACTAAGACTCTCACACAGACAACAGCCATGCATTTGCTCTGGGCAGGGGGAATTTAAATAATACATATTTCATATTATCTCTTGCGATTAGCTAATCGCAATGCTTCAAAATGCGGTTAGATAATATTAATAGAATGGGTAAAATGCTATTGTAGAAGATAAAATATTTTCTTTTTGTGTTGATCTTTAATTTTGGATAAATTTAACAATAATAACACAGAAGTTAAAACATTTTAGGTTTTTTTATACTTTGCACAGATGTTAAATCATAGTAAAACAAGAGCATTTCTGGACCATTACACAAACAAATACCTCACTATAATTTGTCTACTACATACTTCAATTTCCCTTATTTTAATTCCTTTCTTTTCAAATAATTGCACTTAGTTCAGATAACCACAATAGGATTATTAATCAAAGAGTTCAGATGCAAAAACCTCTAAATGCCATCTGAAATGTTCTCCTAAAATGATCATTGTTCCTCAGCCTCCTATGTTTATTTTCAGTTATTTCACTTTAAAGGCAATAAGAACTTAATAATCACTGTAAACGTAAAATTACTGAGTCTACACACAGAAGTCTTTTCTTTATCAAAAGGGCATTTCTTAAATGTGGTGTGTGTTTGTATGAATGCAACACTAATGATAAAAATGTCAATTAACACAAACTATTATTTCACTAATAATATCATTTCATATAACTATGCATGTTTGTATTTAAGCAATCCAACAGTCTAATTGTACATGAATACTTTAGAAAACTAGTTTGTCAATTGCAGCTTGTATTACACACAAATGCATTTTAAGTGAAAGTCCTCTGTGGTAAACACCAGCATTTACACAACAAATGAGTTTTGTTGACACTGACAATTCATCTGCTCAAAATGCACTTAGTAAAACTAATGTCAATGTGAGGTCTATTGTCCTGGCGGAATTTTAAATGTTTAATTACCCTCGTCCTTTCAACCGGGTGCTTATGAATGTGAGCTATCTTGACTATGCAGGCACGCGTCAACGTCACAGATTTTAACTATAGCTTTCAGAACCGGTTTACTGGCAGTAGACAGACCTGTTCTGCAATCAGACATTCCAGTAAAAACCCAGCTGTCTGGTTTGTGGTGGTTATGCATTAGTAGAAAAGGTGAAACTCACTTTAAATCGTCAGTCTCAGCTCCGTAGCAGCTTTCACAGCGGTCAGGATCAAGCGTGCTGGGGTCAAACACACCTTCCTCCTCTTTGCCTAAATCTGCACGCACACACACAAAAAGTCAAATATGCTAGAAATTACTTGAACATGATAACCCTTTACCTGAAGAACCATGTATGGTACTTTCATAGACACTGACTACATTTACATGGACATCAGTAATCAAATTATTTGCCTTAATCTGAATAAGACAATAATATGATTAAGCTTACATGAGTTGCTGTTTAAAAGTTCCTTTCATGGTCCAGTTTTACATGTTAAAGCACATAATTCAGTTAACATCATCGAGTCACCATAATTTTGGGTGTTTCATTTCTACTTTGCCACTTTCACTTTCATTCAGGAATATTTCATGCATGCCCCCCCGTGACAAACGAGATATTGGATGAGAGTATGAACTGCTGGAAGAGTGTACCACACGCCGCATGGGAGAAAAATAACTCCACATTTCACAATGCAGATGTCTGAGGTCCTTCACTGACTCTGTAGGTGCAGAGAATAGTGTCAAACAGCTGTGTGTGTGTGTGTGTGTGTGTGTGTGTGTGTGTGTGTGTGTGTGTGTGTAGAGACTATCTGGTCACAAAATGCAGTGAAAATCCTACACGACGGTAATAGTTTGATTGTGGTTAACACTTAAGCCTGATTTATACTTCTGCGTCAAGTGACCGGCGTAACCCACGGCGCATGCAACGCACGTGGCTGTGCATTTATACTTGTACGCGCTGTCTCTGTTGGTCAGCATTAACACTTCCGAAACGCTAGTTTTTAGTGAGGTGTAAATCTTCCTTTGTGTCGAGTTTCTTCGCTGCTTTTTTGCTTTTCCTGAACACTTCCGGGATGTGCAAGTGGCTCAAACTCGCTCATTTTGAGGCAGGAACCGGCGGAAGTGCAACAACTTTAACTATGAGGTAAACACAAAACAAAACTATCCATCCGGAGCTCCTTCACGGGACTCCACACTTGTAAACAATCGCTCGCGCCATTCGCGCGACTCTCGGTCCCGCCCAGACTCGTCAGCGATACCAAGCCGACCAATCACAGAGCTTGCGCTACCCGTTGTTTCGACGTGTAGTTACATTTTTTGAGAGGTGCACGTCAGTGACGCCGATGGCCACGGCGAAGGGCTATGCGTCAGCACCGTAGCATACGCCGGCGTTTGACGCAGAAGTATAAATCAGCCTTTAATCAGAGTATTGTCTTGATCATATTAAAATCTAATTAATGGAGTCCATCTAAACGTACTCACCGATTAGAATATATATTTATATTTGTTTGAGTCATAATGCTTTAAAAGTGTTGTAATAAACCCCAGGGACACTCCAGGATTTGTTCAATGAGTGCCATATAAAGGGTTAAACACATTTCACTGGTTAAAATCAGCATTTATAAGCACAACATGTAACCAGAACCTTTTAAAGCTCAGACATAATCACATATGCCTTTTACGGCTGAACTATTAGTTCTTTAGTTAAATATTTGAAATATGTGTGTCAACAAGCATAAAGTCTGCTTGTACATTGCATTATTGCCATTCTTGATTTTAGGAAATTGTAATCTTTTTAAGTGGTTCAAAACAAGCACAACTGAATCATCAATAAATGAACTTGTTCTTTAAATATTTTAAATACGTTTAAAAAGATACAAAAATAGCTTGAAAATTGCATTAATAAAAAATCTGATGTATCAGAAAACTCATATTTTAATAACGTACAAAACATATTTTACGTATTTAGATTCAATCTGTTCACTTATTAAAATATTTTTCAGTATGTTAAGACATTAGCTTGTAACTACAATTGCATTAATGTCACTTTTAGCTGAAATTACAGCTTTTAGACAACACAGTCCATAGTGTTCAGTAAAACAGCAAAGCATCAAACTGTTCAACTCTATATAAAGATACTGACCATGTTTTTCAGCCTCTGTTGTGACTGGCTGACCGTCTTTGTCAAGTCTCTGTTTAAAAAGGTTATGCTCCACGTCCAGCTGCTGCTCCCCTGCTACGTCCATGGCATCAATGCTCAGGTCTACAAAATAAATTCCCAAAAGCTTTGAGGTCATTTGGTCACGTCTAGATGCAGTAGATGCTTGCGCACAGCAAAATAGCATAATTTGTGTGACACTGTACAACATTAATTACTATTATGTTACTGTCAGGAGTAGGTCTAGGGTTGGATTATACAGTGTTAAACAATGTGATGAGAAATTAAGAGAATAATTCATCCGATCTGTATCACTTCTAGCAACAACCAGGTAAAATTTTAGATCACTCCCTATTTTCTCATAGACGGCTTCAGGCATTTCAGAATTCTACTCATTGTACAGTATTTATTCGCCGAGCAAGAAGACAAAAACTTTCATCAGTAAACTATTGAAAACGTAAGTTAGCATAAAACACTTAGCATAAAAAAGTATGTTTAATTAAAGGCGCAAAGTATATGTGGGAAAATTACATCAATGTTTGTCTCCTCTGTTTTAGCATAACACTTTAACAACAATAGTTGCTGTTTTTATGTTACTGTGAGGGGTAGCTGTTAATAAAACACAATGCAGTGGGTAATTTAATAAAAAATGTAAATAATCTGGCCAGAGCTGTATCCCTTTTAGCAACAACCAGGTAAAATATATGAATCCAAAGTTTCAGCTTTACAGTTTTACACATTTTAGAGTATTTATTATTTATAGATTACTTATTGAAGTATATATATATATATATATATATATATATAAAAGTAGAGTAAAAACTCTAAAAATAAATTCAGAGACAGTAAATGTTAAAATTACATTGAAACGTTGGCTTATATCTTCCAAAATAACTAACCACAGTTTTGAAATCAGAAAAATATAAATCTGCAAACATTATTCTTAATATTTTAAATGAGGAACATAAGCATGTGTTATGGATGTGACCAAAAAAGTCACAACAGTTTGTAGAAGTTCTGTGAATTTAACTGCACAACCCAAAAAAATAATGCTAATCTAATGGATAAGAGTTGTCTCACTATAGAACTTAAATTATTGCTTTTATTTTGCATTTATGAGGGAAAGCTTGGTTAAGGATGTGAAATTGCCACTTGTCTGGCTTGAAATATGATTGTTTGAAAACATTAATAGAGAAATTGAGAATTTTTACAGTACTGTAAAATACAAGCCTTAGACAAAAAAAAACAAAAAACAGAAAAGGTTTTGCTGAAACCTTTTTTTTTCCCATGGCAACGTTGACATTTGCATGGAATTGCTGAATATTTGCATGAATATACATACAGGGTAGGCCATTTATATGGATACACCTTAATAAAAAGGCGATATTATGATATTAACGTCCTGTTTCTGGCACATTAGTATATGTGAGGGGGCTTGTAAATAACTCATGAAAGAATAAAGTTACGTTTATAACCAAGCACACAATTGTTTTTCTTGTGAAATACCCAATAAGTTTATCAAGGTACACCCATATAAATGGCCCACCATATTCAATAATTTGAATATTCGGTCTGAAATCGCATGCAAGTATGACTTTAAAACAACATTAGCACTATTTAACTGACTGTGAACAATGTTGTACTTTGATAGTCACTGGGTCTAATATGATTTCCCTGTTTATAACTAGCAAATGATACTTTTCTGAAATATTATTAAGGATCATGTCCGACAAACTTTATCTCAATTAGAACTTTAATCTGAAAACACAAGTCAGCATGAAACACGGTTATCATAATAAATGTGAATATTTACTTACAGGCGCAAGGCATATGTGGAAATATAACATCAATGTTGATCCTTAGTTTGTCTCCTCTGGAAGTGTCAACAAATAGTTCAGGATGCACCTAAAAGTGATCAAATCAAACCCAGAAGTCACTGATGTTCCCTCAAAACTTTATGAACAGCCCTTACTAGTACTATTAAGAAAATAAACTCGGGCGATTGAGCTGTTTGTCTGAATTAATTCACCCACCTCTTTAGTTAGATAATACTGCAGCTCGGAGAAGAACAGAATCAGCATGATAAGTCCACTGATGATGGTCACTACAAAGTGAACGGACAATATGTAAATTAGGACACAACTTCTGCCTGCCATTTAAATCACAGCCACAATAATAAACACCACTCTTATTATACACAGCTTTATATTTTTAGCGATCACATTTCACTTCTCACTTAAACTGTATATCATTTAAATATGTAATTATATGAATATATTTTAAGACTTTATGTTAATTAGCCAGTCCAACACTGCTTTCTCTCCATGAGCCTGTGTGTGTGTGTGTGTGTGTGTGTGTGTGTATGAATGGCGCTCAACACTTGTACAGCTCCCGGTGGATTTTTGTCACTCACCCGTGGCTCCTCCACATGTTTTGATCCTGAAGTCCTCTAGAGTTTTCGGATACGCGTCAAATTGTTTGAGTTTATTTAACGCATCCATTCTCCCTCTCGTGCGGCGGTAAAGCTAGCCGTCACTTCGATTTCCAGTGACCCATTTCCGGTATGGTGAGGAAGTGATGGAATCATTGCAGCCAATCAGATTCCACCGCGTAGCTGGAGCGTCTCCCTGGTGTTGACGCTCTAGTGGCAGACTTCTGCATCGTCAGTTTTATCTAATGACTCCTCACAATTAAAAGCACATATGATTATAATGTGCGTTTAAGACGTCAATATCAAGTTTTATATACATGTTATTATACAGCTCTGCTTACAAATTACATTAAGGTTTTAATTGTTAATATTTACGTTAGTTTTTATGTCAAACTCATCGTGTACTGATACATTTGAGGATGTATTTAGTTATTTTTATCATTAAATTATTCTATTAACTAACACTTACTGTTTAATGAACGCAGTGAAAACATATTGCTCATTAGTTATTGTTAGTAAAGTTTAGCCAGGAATCACATACCATTTAATCACTCATTTATTCATTCATTTTACTTCAGCTTAGTCCCCTCATTCATCAGGGGTCGCCACAGCAGAATGAACCGACATCCTATCCAGCATATGTTTTACACAGCAGATGCTCTTCCAGCTTCAACCCAGCACTGGGAAACACCTATACACTCTTATTCACCCACATACTCTTACACTTCATATTCAATTCACCTATACAGCGCGTGTGTTTGCACTGTTCCCAGAGGAAACACACGCTAAAACAGGGAGAACATGCAAACTCCACACAGAAATGCCAACAGACCCAGCCGAGGCTCAAACCAGTGACCTTCTTGCTGTGAGGCGACAGTGCTAACAACTGAGCCATCGTGTCGCCCTAGATCTCCCATTTATGATGAACAAAATGTAGACTAAAACTCTAATCTGAGCAAAATGTAATCTTGCAATCCAGATTCATCTAAATATACTGCATTTTGTGTTTTCTTTTTATTTGTGAGTGTAATCTTGAACTGCCATTCGTTGTTATTTATTTGACACAAGAACAGTTAATTATGGCCTGACCCTTAAATAAATCCTATTAATTTATTCAATATTTATTTTCTACATGGTAAATTTTTTTTTCCAAATGCTAAATTGCAATTTATATTTCATCTTTTGACAAAAACAAACCTAAAAGAGTCTTTAAAATGAAAAACAAGACACTTATAGTGTTTTTCACTTTTTTCATGTTTAAAAATTTAGTTTTATAAATATTTATATATAATTTTTTTACAAATGGCATCTTTATGATTCACTCTTGTGATCGTTTTCGTATGTTGATAACTTCTTGTATTTGTAATGTTAACATTTTTTGAGTTTATTTTCCACTTCCTCACATTATCCATACATTTTATTAACAGTTACAGCATTATTTACAATTACCCTGAGAAGTAATTAGTAATTAGATATAATTCTCGGTACTGGGTTGCGGCTGGAAGGGCATCAGCTGCATAAAACATGAGCCAGAGTAGTTGGCGGTTCACTCCGCTATGGCGACAAATTCAAGGATTCAAACTTAGCTGATGATTGATGCTCTCTCTCTCCTGTCCCGGGAGAGAGCACTGAGCTCACAAGATCCTCAAGCAGGGGGCTCCCTCTCATTTGCAGGGCAAGAGAAGAGTTTGAGCTCAGGTAGGTCTTGAGAAGCCCTTCCCCCCACCCCCCATTAGGGCTAATGAAAAATTAGGGATTGTCATGAGATAAACTGCTGGTTAAGACTTTACTATAGTGCCATTTTGGTTTAGTCTTTTCAACTATGTTGCATGTCTTTAGACTGTGAGAGGAAACCTCAGTGCACCCAGTGGAAACCCACATAAGCTTAGGGAGAACATGCAAACTTCACACAGAAATGTTGACTGGCCTGTTAAGGACTTAAACCAGTTACATTCTTGCTGTGAGGTGACAGTGCTACCCACTAGGCCATCACGTCACCCTATTAAGGGAAAGGAGTAGGGCAATTCTTTAGGGGAATTTTTTAAGACAAAGATGACTGAATGACGAAACTCTGGTTATTTATAGGGAGTTAGGAATCGTCTGATTGCTAAATCATGTGATAGCTGGTGCAGGACCAGCTGTGATCAATCATAAGCACGTGATCCTCTCAAAATTAGTTTATAATTAAACTTCATTACAGGACTAAAGCTGCCGTCACACTAGAGTGTGTGTGTGTGCACGATATTCTGTCATGCAACGCTGCAGGATTAAACAAGCTTATTAGACATTTAAAAAAGCGAGCGATTGCTCGACGTTTTAAATTTCTGCCCAGAGAGGTCATGTTTTGATCCTCGATTAATCTCACGCAGTCAAGTGATGCGATTTTGCAGGACAGAGTTCACCAAGCTTGAACTTTGCACCGCAGCAACCTGCGAAACTTGACGCATGACCCTGTGTTTCTGGTCTGACGCATTTGTGTGCTTATGAATGGAAGTCTATGGGAGGAAAAGCCTAGTGTGACCGCAGCTTTAGTCGAAGCAATATGAATGAAGTCTAGATATCATTTACTAATATAGTACATGTACACACATATATATATATATATATATATATACATACATATATATATATACATATATATATATATATATATACATACATATATATATACATACATACATATATATATACATACATATATATATATACATACATATATATATACATACATATTATATGAATATTATTTACTAATGTTATGTATCTTTATGAAATAACTATTAGTGACTTGAATTCTATACAAAAAACAGCTAATTACCCTTAACTTGATTCTTGAATGCGTTTTTAAAACTCTCTAAACATAAAAAGTTAAAATAATTGTAAACATTTAAATAAAATAAAAAGATGTCTAAAAATCTTGAAAAATACAAAACCGTTTTTCAAACTTTTCAGATTTACAATCTCATTTTGAAGTGTATTTTAATGCTCATTGCAACAAATCTAACGACACAGTCAAGGATGTCTATTATTTTCTCATTTTTAGTCTCCTTTAGGTAAAAACCCCAGCTGTTGAATAAATCTACAGGATCAAACAGAAAGAATCCCATCACACAAAGCAAGATTTGTAATAAGAGGTCATGAGGTTATACCGCTTTTATTAAATATTTACACAACAAAGTGTAGAGAACCTACTGCAAGGACAGATCTCACAAAGCACAAGAAGGTTGCAAATGTATTTTGAATTTTTCCTCCGATCACATCGCCTCGCCAAACGACCACAAATAATTGATTGATATTTATTGTACAGTAAAACATCACTAGGGTTGTTTCAGTCCCACTCCCCAAGTCATTTAGGAGCATCTGAACGGATGTCCAGCAGTTATTGATGATAGCAAACCTTATCTTGAAGCACTGTGCATTCTGAAAAAAGATCGGACAATCGTGAATCAGGTTTTATTATGTGGTGTCGAGGCCCAATGAAGGCAGCAGTTTGGCTTTATTTCGGAGGCCTGTAGGCGATCTTTCTGCTCTTCAACACAGACCACTTGTGCCTCTTTATGTAGTAGATCAATGGAATAAGCAGAGCACCACCCAACAACACCTGCAGAGAGATTTATTGCAAAAAGATTCACAAAATAAGATGCAAACGTTAATCAAATAATATATAAAGATGCATAAACATGAATGTAGCGATGCAGAGATTTATTATGCATGCTTTGCTTTTTTATTGCACTACATAAACTGAGTCCACAGATATGTAATAAAAACAATGGCAATACAAACCTTCAGACCCATCCGTTTGCGGTCGTCATGTTCTGGCTCGGCTGCCCACCTCAGGAAAGTACAGACATCTTTAGCGACCTGGCTCATGGTGGCAGGGGTTCCTATGGATGAGGAGAAAATGAAAACTAAATGCGATGCTTTACGTACGGTGCATTACTTAATAGCTTTATTCAGGCTGTCCGCGGGGTCTTAAAATGTCTTAAATTTCAAAACCTAAATTTTAGGGCTTAAAAAGGCACAGAAATATTGACTCTAAGGTGTTAAATAGTTTTAAACAGGTCTTAATTTTTCTTTGTTTATGTAAAGCAACCCAATCAATTCAATACAAATCCAATCACCAACAATACTTCTCAATAAAATCTAAACTCTGTTTATAATTAATACTATAACAGTTTGTTGTGCATTCATTTAGTTTATTTTTTTAAGTTGGTATGTATACAACTAGGGTCTGCTTCTTTTGACACGTTATTTTAAATAAATAATTAGAATTTGTTTTTTGATGGGGCAAGTAAAAAAAATCTGCTGGGCCATTTAAAAATAGCCTTAGGCCCTATACAAGTCTAAAATTTAATTCTTGATGATCTTAAAAAGTCTTAGGGTTTCTGCAGGTTTCACCAAGTCAAATTTGTTTATTAGTAGCTCATAAATGCAATAAATCTTTTAGACAATCTTCCATTTAAATCACATAAGACTGAAAAAAATAAATAAAATAAAAATGCAGTAATACCAATAAGAAGCTGCTAATCAGACACATTTTAGTTGGTTTTAGTTGACTAATCATGTTAAAAAAATGTAATCTACTGCTTTATGTACTGTGCATTAATGATAGCTAATTAATAGCTTTATTAATAGCTCATAAATGCATTCAATCCAGTAGGCAAGCTTCTATTTATTAGGAAATGAAGCAGGAAAACTTCACGAATGGCTAATTTATATGCAAATCAAATGAGAAGGTTGAACTGAAGATAAATCATCTGCTGTGTTTGTTTGGGGAATTTAATTATAATCAGTGTGAAATATAGTGTGCGAAATAAAAGCCGTAATGAGAATGTGAATAGTGTATTTCCATCTTTCATCAGACAGAACTGAATGGGTTCAAAATGCTTTAGAAATGCAGAAGGAAACTGATTTACTTGTGTTAACCCTCATGATTCATAGGAGTCTGCTTTGAAAAAGAAGTTAATTCCATAGTTTTAGTAATCAAATAAAACTTTGCAAATGTTTTAAGAAGCATTAAATACACATTTTATTTCTTCTGATTGTTTATGCTGTATTTTAGAGATTTAACCATGTTTAAACAATACATAAATATTCAGGTTTTATAAATTAACACTG